ATTTCCTTTTTGGATTGTGGACTTAGTAATTTTCACCATCTAGGCACTGTGAGAATAAGGTACATCTACTACAGAGCCAGCCAGTGCAGATATATACTTGAAATCACCAATATTTTAGCTGACAATGAGCATGCTTACCTTTCTCATAAGTACCATGAGTGAATAAATACTTGTATCCATCAAAAGTATTGTAAAATCTTTGTTCTTTAAGCTAGTATTCACTGATTTGAACATTTTGCAAGCTATTTCACAGTAGTTTAGCATGCATATTTGCTCGGTTCTACACTCCATATACTTGGAATAATATTAGATGATTTTTGAATACTATCCCTTTGCAGCCCACATGTAGAATTGGCCTATTAGGGGGGATAACAAGGATCTGAGAAGGGTACTGGCTATCTCTGCCAATTGTGTTCTGCTTGACCTGAAATTTGGATATGTTATTTAGAGGAGGTATTTGATCAATATTTTCCGTTCAGCTTGCCAAACAGAACGTCAGGGCGGGCTATATCTCATCCCTTGTCAAATGGCATGTTCCCCATTCGATCTCTATCATTTTGAAGGATGTATGCACAATTTTTAGGATGCATCAGGTACATATAGGATATCTCAATGGATTAGCTTGGTCATCCATAAAAATTTGGCTAGGGTTAGTGAGCAAACTAAGAAACTATTACAGAAACTCACAGGATAGGCCTTTCATTTCACATGTAAGGCTGTATACAGAGAATATGCCACATAGTCACATCCACCCAGTCACCATACACCTATTATTTACCAGAAGTGCTGGGAGGATGAGAGGTCTTGCAAAGATATTCGAGATTTCATAGACTAGCCAAAAGAGAAGATGTACCTTATTCTCACAGTGCCTAGATGGTGAAAATTACTAAGTCCACAATCCAAAAAGGAAATTCCTTTCTGTAGGTCAATAGGACTCGTTGTATTGTTCTGGCTTTGGGTTGGTTGCTCATCTTGTATGGCCCTACCATGTCCTCACTATATAGGCAGCAATTTCCACTGGACCGGGTGCTATAAACATATTTCTCCACTTTTTTCTCTGCTCCAAGTCCACCTAGCTCTCAAAACATGCCAATCTACCAACACTCCGACCACCCTCTATACCCTTCATATCATCGGCTCTATATCTCTACACCTCTCCAAATCAAGAAGATGAGACCAAATCTCTAAGTCCATAACCAAAAATGGAAAGAGGACTCGTTTGAGTGCTCTGGTTCACTTGGCATGTGTGACTATCATAGCCTATTTACTAATGGAGTACTAGATGGATGTATCACATGAATTTCTATAGTCCTTGTAATATAAAAAACAGGAAAGTATCAAATAAAAAGCTGACATATTAGAACACTGTAGCAATAACACGATCTGGAGGGGCATGAGTGAGGAACAGTGAAGAACAAGTGTACATACCATCATCCTCAATCAAAGTGATACACAGATTCAGCTCCTGGCATGTACCTTAGAGCATCCATCTCAGCCTGGGTTCTTTCCCGGGTATGCCGGCTACTGGTGGTCTGGTGAACTTGCTCAGGGGTGATAAGTTTGACACTGTCGAGCAGGGGTGCAGGACCAGTCCAGTCTTCCACCAACATCCACTCTTGAAACCATTCTTCCTGGCAAAACTCAATGACCTTGGGAGATGAGAGATCCGAGATGCGAGCCACTGCCACCAGTATAAAATGAAATGCCAGTAGCTGGCGACCTTCATGTAGAGTGTCACAGGGTGGAACACGCACAGGGCTAAGAAGCCAGTGCATGAGGTGACAAGGAGATCTTGAAGGTATCTTGGCTAGTATTGTGGTGGCTAACCAGGGAGTGGCCAGAATTCCCAAGAAAATATCAAGGACAAAATCAATCAGTTTGCAGTCCCGGTCTCGATCTCCATGAAACTCCACGTGTGCATTGACTGCACCAATGATCTCCCTGTGCTGAGGAAGGTGGCATCCTATACAGGCACTGAAATTGGCGACATGATGGTGCTGCCGATATTTGGTCAAAGTCGCTTTCATGGCTGCACGACGAGAAAAGAGTTGCAGAGGACAATTCTCTGTGTGATGCTGGACAGCAGGATGAGCGCCCATGTGAATTTGGCAGTAGACACATGTAAACTTGCTCAATTCGACAACTTCGTAAACAGCAGCTACCACCTGGATCAGTCTACTCAGTCGAATGGCATCAGCTCGCTGAGTGACTCTGCCAAGGAGGTCGTTGACAGGTTGTGGGTTGTAGACTCCATCTCCATCCATTGCCGTGCAATTGTCACAGAGTACTCCATTCATCAGGGCAGAGCAGCTGATCACAGTGCCGTCCAGATGTCGTGAGAGTGGTATCCTTCTACAACCCTGTGTGTCCTTAAAGTCTTGCCAATCTGGACATGGCACCTTCTCATTGTACACTGTTCCCCTTCGGATCGAGGTTAAACCTTCCACACGCACCCTCCTCCAGCGGTTTCTGCCGAATTTCACCTTTCGTTCTCCAGCTCAGGCTCAGTGTACTCAACATCTCCTCGATAGACGCTCAGAGCCACTGTTGGTAGTGCTGCCGATGGGACATGGAAAGTCCCTGATCTATCAGTTGCCAGTATTTTGGGAGAGTGCCCAAGGTCTGATCACAATTGTCATCGTGCCTCTCTTGTCGCTAGCTCAAGCTGCATGTCACTCGGCAAAGAGTCTTGGTCTGCGGGCACACTTTATCAACCCAAAAGATCGCCGCCCTGGAGATAGTATGGAGACCTTGGATGCAAACCTCTTGTTCTGCACATACGACCTGCTCCTTTGCAGTGAGCCCATGAGAAAGTGGATCCACTTGCGAACCAAGGATCGTCGCATCTCACGAATTGTCGTTGACGAGGTTCACACTATCATCACCGAAAAGGCCTTTCGTACAGTGTTTATAAGTTTGGCCACCATCCTCAAGGATTTTTCTATTCCATTGGTCTTTCTGACTGGTACCCTCCCCTTGTCTGTCGAATGGGACCTGATCCAAGCATTTTCCAACTGTGCTACCATTCCTTCAGTCCGCCTACCTACCGACCGCCTAAATCTCTCCTATCAGGTATCAAGCATTACTGGCGAAGAGAAGAATATGCAAGATATCACCGACCTCTTTGAGCAAGAGATTCGCCCTCGGCTTCGTGAAGACTACACTCGACGTGCCATATTTTTTGTCCAGACGGTTCCCCAAGCCCATGCCTGGGCTGCACGCCTTCATGCAGGAGTCTATGCCAATCTACCAACACTCCGCA